CTTAAAATGTCTCTAGGACTCACACCATAGCAGGTAAGTAAATAAGTAAGGGCTTCGCAGTTACTGACCTCTTCTTCTTTCCTGTGTGCAGGCATTCTTTCAGTGCTTGTTGGTAGACATTTTTGACAATTCTGCCTAATTCATTTGAATGTCAAGGATAAAACCCTCTTTCACTCTTTGCCAAGTTTTTCTCCAGCTTTCATCACCCTGGCAGGAATTGTACTAATCTCTTTTTTAAACATTCTATTAGTGAATATTTGTAGATAATTTACAAGAGAGAAACCACAAATAGAAAATATATACAAAATTATTCAATCACTCTAATAATAATGGAATACAAATTCAATAAGGTGTCATTTTCACCTAAACTTTTTTGACATACATTAAAACATAGCAGAAAAATATTTTAAGTTGTTATGCAATGCTCGATATCACTGAAAATTGATAGAATGCTTTGGGAAAACAATTTGACAATATGTGTCAAGAATTAGGAAAGTATCACAATCTTTGATCTAGGTCAGACTTTAGGGTGCTTTTGGTGCCCTATTCTAAAGAAGGGATTTGAAATGTGCATACAGCCTGTATGCTCAAATATGTTCCCCAGAGCATTCTTTATAATACTTAAATATTGGGAACTGGACCTGAATACCCACTGACAAGGAAATGATTACATCAAAGCGTACACTTACTGGAAGGAGTAGAATGTAGCCCTTGAAGACTGTGGTAGGATAACCATACAGCAAGCAGAAGACCTCATGAACAATCCATGGAAAACAGCAACCTTAGGTGCTTATAGGTTATAATATTGGCCAAAAATTCAGTAGACTTTTAATTTGCAGGACTGGTGATGATATGAGAAGGCAGACATATAGTATTGGAATGAGGACTCAGTGTGGCACGGAGGGCCAAGGGCAAACATCATATCTCTTAACTTGGCTGGAAGTCTCTGTCCTAAATGCCCCAGGCCACAGAAACAGAACTACCCATCTCTACTTGTTTAGGAATAGTGGGGTAAAGAGCTTTTAGACTGCAAAGGTTTGGAATAAAATAACTATTGATGTAAATTTACTTATTTTATTAATAGTTTTGTGGTAAATTTAGAGACAATCTGTATGTTTTGGTATTTAATCATTGACAATATTTTAGAGAATGTAGCATATAAGAACAGCTATTGCATTTAACCTGTGACCCCAGTATATGTGTTAATATTAAATAACGAATTCCTTTTTTTTTTCTGGAGACAGGTTCTTGCTCTGTCACCCAGGCATGGAGTGCAGTGCTGTAATCATGGCTCACTGTAGCCTCAAACTCCTGGGTTCAAATGATCCTCCTGCCTCGGCCTCTCAAGCAGCTGAGACAAGAGGTGCATGCCACCACTCCTGGAAAATTTTCTTTTCTCTTCTTTTCTCCTCTCTTCTTTTCTTTCCTTTCTTTCCTTTTCTTTTTTTATTTCCTTCTTTCTTTTTTTGGGTGGGGGATGGAGTCTCACTCTGTTGCCCAGGCTAGAGTGCAGTGGCTTAATCTTGGCTCACTGCAGCGTCCACCTCCTGGGTTCAAGTGAGTCTCCTGCCTCAGCCTCCTGAGTAGCTGGGACTACAGGTGCAAACCATGCCTGACTGATTTTTGTATTGTTAGTAGAGACAAGGTTTCACCATGTTGGCCAGGTTAATCTCAAATTCCTGACCTCATACGATCTGCTTGCCTTGGCCTCACAAAGTGTCGGGATTACAGGCATGAGCCACCACACCTGGCCAAATTTTCTTTTCTTATTAGAAAAAAAATTTAAATAATAAAGATAGGATCTCCCTATGTTGCCCAGGTTGGTCTTGAACTCCCGGTCTCAAGGGATCCTCCTGCCTTGGCCTCCCAACGTCCTGGGATTATAGGTGTGAACCACCATGCTCAGTCAGGTAACTGATTTTAGACATGGGATTTTTAGTAGGAAGTTATAAGAGAATTTTACTAAGTTTCAAACCAGTATTGGAATTTGTAAAAGAATTAAGTTCTGTATTTATAAATTATAAATTTTATACATTTACTGGATTTACCACAATCGAGTATTTGAGAAAGTTTTGCTAATTTAAAGTCATTTAAAATATTTTAAATAGAAGATGTAATAGTTTAATACTTAAGTTTAAAATAATTTAACCTGGGGCCTTGCCCAGTGGCTCATGCCTGTAATCCCAGCACTTTGAGAGGCCAATGTGGAAGCATCACTTGAGCCCAGGCAGTCAAGACCAGCCTAGGCAACATAGCAAAACCCCGCCTCTACAAACAATAATAAAAAAAATTAGCACTTATGGCTCCAGCTACTCAAAAGTTTGGGGCAGCAAGACTCTAAACCCAGGAGGTCAATACTTCAGTGAGCCGTAGTCATGCCACTGCACTCTAGCCTAGGTGACAGAATAGTCCCTGTCTCAAATAATAATAATAATAGTAATAATAATAATTTGATCTGAAATAACTTGAGTTTAAAAATTTATGGGAATTAAGTGTGACACGACCTTAAGCGTTATTGTCAGAGTTCACTAGGTTTTAAAATAGAACAACGTGATTATAAATTGAATAAAAGGACATGGAAAAATTAGGCTTTTGAGTGTACAAATGTAATAAGATTTAATTTTAAAAATCAAAGTAAGTGCAGTTCAAACAGTGTGTAATAAACCCCCCCTCAAGTATAGACTCACATTGACAAGAAAAGCTTTTTAAGTTACAAAGTGACAAACCAATGCACAGCAAGAAATGAAAACAGCGTGTCTCCATTTGTGCATGATAATGGACGTAAGTGATAGAAACAGTTTGAGAAAGTAAACTCCAAGCTGCTAACTGTGGTTCCTTCTAGGCAAAGGAATAGGAACTGGGAAAATAAGAAGGGAGACTGTCACTATTAGTGTATTTAATTATGTGTTATTTATTTTTGGAAACGTAAAGAAAAATGTAACCTTCTGTAATTAGTTAATTATTTGAAAGCAAAAGTAATTTTAAATTTTGAGTCAAGTCCGGGACATTAACTGCATCACAGTGCAATTGTAGAAAATGTCCGGCAGGTGGAGCCCTAATACAATCCCATGGGAGAGATTTCAGCAAAAACGAAGGGAGGACCAGCATTCAAACAGTCAGGAACTTTTAAGGACAGGGCCTTAGTCCAGAGCCGTGGGATATATTTTCAAGCCAACATTAGATGGTTTCATAATTTTAAAAAATTCATCTTTTAATTGGTTTAACAGAATTCAGTAATTCCTGTTTTTAAAAACCCAGTGGTCAGATACTGTTTACTATGAGTACTGCCCATACGGGCAGGCCCTCTGTTGATGTGTTCATGTCAGGACAGGTTTTTCTTCACCACTTAAACTCTGATAATGTAATACCCACCAGTAGGGAACTTAGCCAACACTGTGTTCAATCCATACAATAAGAATTCAACCACAAGGAAGAATGAATTAACTCCCTGTGTGCCAACATGGAAGCATGTTCAAGGTAGGATGTTAGGCGAAGAACGCACGTTGCAGATTCCATTTGTGCTTAGATAAAAGGATATCTAAGGACATCTAAGGATAATTTGCAGAGCAGCAGCAGGTCCTGTTGTCTAGAGAAGCTTTTTGCTGGGGAAACAATGCCCTGGAATGGTATTTCAATGACATATGCGCTCAGGATTTCAGAAATGGAAATTAGTTCTACGGAGCAGGTTTAGCATTCACGTGTGCACTATATTCCTGGAAAGAGAACTCAGGCTATCAAAGATGGTTTTCTATGGAAAGTGCAAATGGGGAGACTAAGACTTTTACTTCCCACTTTATAACTTTCTATACTATGCAAATTTCTCTACTGTGTGCACTTTTTTTTAACGGTAGCAGCAGAATTTATTTTATTTATTTATTTATTATTTATTATTTATTTTTTTGAGACGGAGCTTCGCTCTTGTTACCCAGGCTGGAGTGCAATGACGCGATCTCGGCTCACCGCAACCTCTGCCTCCTGGGTTCAAGCAATTCTCCTGCCTCAGTCTCCCGAGTAGCTGGGACTACAGGCGTGTGCCACCATGCCCAGCTTATTTTTGTATTTTTAGTAGAGACGGGGTTTCACCATGTTGACCAGGATGGTCTCGATCTCTTGACCTTGTGATCCACCCGCCTCGGCCTCCCAAAGTGCTGGGATTACAGGCGTGAGCCACCGTGCCCGGCCCGGGTAGCTGTAGAATTTTTTCAAACGTGCCTTATTATAGGGGGTGGGGCTTGCCTATGGTGCTGTCAATATATAAGGCCCAGAAATTCTGCCAGTTTTTCTGCCAATTTTTCTTGAGCATTGTCACCAAGAAGTTGACAGGCAGGTGAATGTTATACACAAGTTCATTGTCTGTCATCTTCACGTAGCCAACAGCCACAGCCAGACATAACACCTTCTTCATTTGGAACTTGATGGTGGACTTCATCTCATCCACTTTGGCCACCATGTTTTCATTGTGTGTGAGCAGGGAGGAGAAATTTCCTGTCTTATTTAGGCCTGGGCCGAGGATTTGTAGGATCTGCTTGATCAGAGACTTGGAGGGCAAAAATGCATCATACTTCCTGGCCAGCTTCGTGACCAGTTTCTTATTCTTGCTGAGTTTTTTCTGCGCATCGTTTTCCATATCCACAGCCTCGGCCTCGTCACAGTGCTGCTGGTCCCCCAGGACACACACGGAGAACTTGGGGCGGGGAGTGGACTTAAGCTTGACTGTGCCCGAGAAGCAATTGTCCTTCTGGGAAGTCCTAGTTCTTCACGCTGATCTGCAGCTCCACCAACTCCAGAAACTTGCGGCGCTTGCACTGATTCCAGCGCGGGACTTCCCGCAGTGCCTCCTACCGGGTGTCGCGGGAGACTTTGCTACTCACGGCCTCTCGCGCCGCGCTAACTGAAAAACAGACTAATTTTTGAGACTGCACGTATATTTTTGAGTGTCGGTTCCATACACCAATACTAACACCAATACTAACTTTCTCTATTTCCTTGTTAATTTGCAGGGCAGCAGCCACTACTCAAGGAAAAGTCCCACTTTTTTATGCAGAACAAAGTGTGGGTCTTATCGTTCTGCTCCTGCTGGCTCTTGCTTCAGGGACTCAACTGTAACTGGAAACTGTGCTGCTCGAACCCTAGCCCTGCAGCCTGCCCTTGCAGTCATCATTCCTGTTCTGTGTATATCAAAGGATTCTGTTGTCTAAAGTGGATTTTTGTTGGGAAAACCATGTCCTGAAATGGTATTTCAAGGGCATATATGCTCAGGATTTCAGAAACAAGAAATTAGTTCTATACAGCAGGTTAAAAAAATGCTGCATTAGAATTAAAGCAAGTTATTTTCTTATTTTTACAGTGACACAAAGCACTAAGAATCAGACTGCTTGTATATTAGCAAACATTTTTAGAGCATTCTAATAAAACTGTATGTTACATCATCTATTTTTCCTGTATCTCCAGCAGTGCGCACACTGCATGCTTATTGATTGCTCAAGACATATGTACACTATATAAATGTATGCATATATATTTGGCCTGCAAAGATTTCATTTGTTTGGTATAAAGATGTTCAGGTAATGGTTTTTTGTTTTGTTTTGTTTTGTTTTTTGAGAGATGGAGTTTCGCTCCTTTGCCCAGGCTGGAGTGAAGTGGCAAGGTCTCAGCTCACTGACCTCCACCTCCAGGATTCAAGTGCTTCTCCTGCCTCAGCCTCCCAGGTAGTTGGATTTTCAGGTACCTGCCACCACACCCAGCCAATTTTTGTATTTTTAGTAGAGATGGGGTTTCACCATGTTGGCCAGCCTGGTCTCGAACTCCTGACTCCAGCTGATCCACCTGTCTCGTCCTCTCAAAGTGCTAGGATTACAAGTGTGAGTCACCACACCCAGCCTTAATAGTTATTTATAATGAGGGAAAAATCCAAAATATTCAATAATATTTACATATTTATTGAAACTGTTGGGAATTTGTATTAGTTCATTCTTGGATTGCTATTAAAAAACTACCCAAGACTGGGTAATTTACAAAAAAATAAAAATAAGAGGTTTGACTCACAGTTCCACAGGCTGTACAGGAAGAGTGGCTGGGGAGGCCTCAGGAAACTTACAATCATGATTGAGGGCAAAAGGGAAGCAGGCATGTCTTACATGGCCAGAGAAGGAGAATGGGGGTGAAGAGGGAGGTGCTACGTGCCTTCAAATAACCAGATCCCATGAGAACTTTGTCACAAGACAGCACTAGGAGATGGTGCTAAACCATCAGAAACCACCTACATGATCCAGTCACCTCCCACCGACCCCACCTCCAACACCGGGGATCACAACTCAATATGAAATTTGGGTGGGGATACAGAGCCAAACCATATCAGAACTATTTACATGGGTTTTAGTATATTTGTAATATGGAGTATCGTTCAACAAGTGAAAGCCATGTTTGCCAACTCAAATGCCCTTCAAATGGTGAATGAATAAACTAACTGGTAAATCTATACCATGGAATACTACTCAGCAGTAAAAGTAACTATCTTGGTATATGCAGCAATATGGATGAAACTCAGATGTGAGAGGTGCCACACCAAAAGGCTACCAATTGTATGATTCTGTTTATATGACATCCCCAAAAAGGCAAAACTATAGGAGTGGAAGCAGACCAGTGATTGTGGGGGTGGCGATGATTAGGACTAGAGGGCGGCACTACCTGCAAAGTGACACTAAGAAAATTTTGGGAATGATGGAACTACTCTGTCTTGATTGTGGTGGTGATTACGTGAATCCATGTATTTGTCAACACTCATGGACCTGCTCATGAAAAAGAGTAAATTTTATTGTATGTAAACTAAAAAGAAATGTTTTCAAGGAAGATTTAATCACATAGGAAAATATGTAAGTGATAAAATAGAAAACTTTATTATATGATGCAAATGTCTAAAGTATGATACAAATTTAATAAAGTATGAATGTGTGTGCAGATGATATACATATATTGTAAACAAATGGCAAAAAAGAAAATAAACCAAAAAGCAAAGGAGTTTTCTCCAGACAGTTTCTTATTTTATTTCTGACTTTTGACTTTTTTCAAATTTTCTCCAATGAGCATGCACCACTTTTATAATCAGAAAAAGAGAAACACACACACACACACACACACACACACGTGTAGTAATTTGATCCGACATGAAACATTTCCAGAAGAGAAAAACAAAACCAAAAGCTCATCACAGACACTTCTGCCATCTCTTTACTGCTTGTCTGACCTAAAGCAAGTGTGGGTCATTAGGCATGAAAGCTGATGATTCTAATTCTGATGCCCCAGGGCCAGCAAGTGGCAGTGGAGCTCCTCACCTTCCTGTAGGGTGCTGTAGATGTCTGTAGAGAGAATGGAACACCTCCCATGCAGCCCCTGGTGACGCCAGGCAGCGGCAGGACCTCTCTCCAGACCCACGGCTCTTGAGTGCCAAGCCCTTTCTTTCTTACCCTGCTGCCCCCATCTCTGGTGAGATTCTCCTGGCCGTGTCTTTACTCAATTTTTGTGGACACTTGACCAAATATTTGCTACAAAACTAGGAAAACGCACAGCTTTACGGTCATTGTGTGTATAGGGATATGTATTAGGTTGGTGCAAAAGTAATTGCGGTTTTTGCCATTGAAAGTAATGGCAAAAACTTGAGGTCAGAAGTTTGAGACCAGTTTGGTCAACATGGTGAAACCCCATCTCCACTAAAAAAACAAAAATTAGCTGAGCATGTTTGTGTGCACCTGTCCAGCTACTCAGGAGGGTAAGGCAGGAAATTTGCTTGACCCTGGAAGGTGGAGGTTGCAGAGCCGAGACTGCACCAGAGCACTCGAGCACTCCAGCTTGGATGTCAGAGTGAGCCCCCCTCTCTCTCAAAAAACAAACAGACAGAAAACTGCTATTCAAAAACCAAAAAAAGACTGCTATTACTTTTAATGGCAAAAGCTGCAATTACTTGCACCAACATGATATATAAAACACAATTCAACCTTGTGAATATCTAGAGATCGTCTCAGACATTGCTCTGGGTGGACCTCAGTCTCTTTCATTTGAAGTCACACAATGGCATTCTAATTAGTTTCCTGTGCCCTCTGCCTCTTTCTCTTCCAACTTCTCATCTGCCATTACCTCTCCTTTGTGGGGTCTACTCACAGGTCTGCCCCGCCCAATGGTACTCAATCCAGGGGTTGTCTCTGCACTGCAGGAGGGGCCAGGTTACTTGACCGTCACCATCAGCCACCTTCGTCATGACTACAGCAAGCATTCACTTAGTTATACTTGTCATGCGTTCTAGTTTCCATGCCCAGCATGCTCCAAAGCACCTGGTAGAACAGTGGATTCCTTCCTCCATGGGACACTGTGGGGCCAGGTTTTGGTGGCGTTACCAGATCACCAGGGATTGGTCTAGGTCCTGCTGCCTGCTGCACAGAAAGCAAGTCACTGAGATGAGCATTGCTACGGAAGAAGGCTTTTTCGGGTGCTGCAGCCAGGAAGAACGGGAGGTCAGTTTCAAAATCATCTCCTTGACCAGTCGACTAAACTTACAGGTTTATATAGCAGGGAAGAAATATAACTCTATGTGGGAAAACGGAAATGAGGGCGGGGTAAGAAAGAGAAGCTGCTAAACCGGAATCATGGTGGACGAAGGCTCTGGCATCTCACTGTGGATGTGGTGGTCTGGCGAGTTTCCGTTCCTTGATACTAACTGGGTGGCTTAAGGATCAGTTTTCTTGAGGAAGGAATTTAGATAGGACAAATAAAAGTTTCAATCTTTAAGATGGGAGGGTCAATTTTCCTGTTTAGCCCAAAAACAGTAGACATCAATTCTCTGGGACAGCTGGGCTGGTTTCAGTTTGACACTGCCACAGGGGGCAAGCAGGAACCAGACCATGCTCAGAGGGGTTAAGGAAAGAGTCTCTGAGATTGCAGAGAAATGAAATCCATGAAGACCTAGCATGTGGTAGAATGTTCAATAGGTGTAGCCACTGGTGTGTATTGTAAAAGTGCTAACAGCTTCTTACAGAAGGTGTGCTCAGCTGGGCTCTTCCAAACAAGTGACTGGGTGCTCTACCTAGACGTGTTCTACTCTTTCCCTCCTCAAGGTCTTTGAACATGTTGGTCTCTCTGTGTTGATTTTCCTTCCTGCTCTGTCTCCCATCTGGCAGACTTGAAGACATACCTTAAGCATCACCTCCTTCCTGGATCCTTCTATTGCTCTTTCTCCCTGCAAAAGAGCAAAGAATCCCCCAACAGGGCTCATCTCCATGGTGTCAGCATTGTTTGAGTCCTTGCCTGACTTCACCCTGGCTTCTTTGCAGACTCACCCATCTTTCCAGTCCCAGCCTCTAGCCCTGCCTGGATGAAGTAGACCTTCCACATGTGAATGAACTAAGTTGGATGGAGGAAAACACAGGCTGGGGGATTCGTTAGCTTTCATTTGTTGGAGGCCAGGGAGGGTACAAGGAAAGATCAATAGCATGGTGTGCCGTGCTTTTCTGTATGTACACCATACTTCCACAGAACACTTGAAATGTGTGATATTGCTAGGGTGTGTGAGGGGAGCAGTGAGGGAAGATGACAAGCAGCATAAGACTTTTGGGTACCTAGAGGAAGAGAAAAGGACCCAACCAACCAACTTCCAATTCATGGTTTGTCTCAGGACCGTCTGGCTCCTCAGGCCAATCCCCTGGGAGTCCCAGCCAAGGGGCATCTCTTAGGCCAAGCTTGGAGAACACACTGTCCGCTGCCCTCAGGTTGCCTGGGTTACCAGGCGACTTAGACACCACAGCACAGTGACCTGTGACTCAATTAGAGCAATGTCATTTTGAATTCCCTGGGAAAAATAGGCTTTATTTTTAAAAGCTAAACATAACTTCACTATTTTTCTGAATATAAGAGTAATAATGTCTGCTTTCTTGAAAAAAATCTACACAATACAGAAAAATTAGGAAGAAGGCAATAAATCTCATCTGTCATACTACATGCAGAATATCAACATTTTCCATGTGTTTTTATGTGCATATTTATATTTTTAGATCCAAGAGGCTATGTGTGAAAGTAGGAATATAACCCAGAGCAGAACCATTCAACCACCAGGTCTAGTCTTTGTACAAGGTCAAACGTGGGTTTCAAACATATCACTGCCTTCTGACTGGTTTCTCTGCTTCTGCTTGGTTTCTCCTTCAGCCTAACTTCCACAATGCTGCCAGAGCAATGCCCTATGCTAGGGTCCTGAGTGCACTGCCCTCTTGCTCAAAATCAGCAATGATTTCCTACCCTTGGCAAGATGAATTTCATATTTTAAATCTGCTATTTAAGAAGCCAGTCACAGTAGCTCAGGCCTATAATCCCAGCACTTGTGGGGGCCAAGGTGGGCAGATCACTTGAGGTCAGGAGTTTGAGACCAGCTGGACAACATGGTGAAATCCTGTCTTTACTAAAAATACAAAAATTAGCCAGGCGTGATGGCACATGCCTGTAATCCCAGCTACTCTGGTGGTTGAGGCAGGAGAACAGCTTGAACCCAGGAGGCTGAGTTTGCAGTGAGCCAAGATTGTACCACTGCACTCCAGCCTGGGTGATAGAGTGAGACTCCGTCTCCAGAAAAAAAAAATCTGCTATTTAAGGTCTTTCCATTTACTCCTAAAGCGCATCACTAGGCCTGTGCCCCAGGAGACCCCACTGCACTCTCCATGCACCTTCTCTCAGCTCCCTATTCTCAACAGGAGGCTTTGGATGTGGTACCTTTGCACACCTCCTTCTTGAAGCCTTACTTAGCTCCAGTTCCATTTGTTTTTATGTCTCTGTTGAGAACAGCAACTTTACCCAATTGTCTTTGTGTCTGTCATAATGCTTTACCCTGATCAGCCATGACCTAGTCAGCATTTGATCAGATTAAGTGAGATCATTGGATTTGGGGAGTCAAGACAAGGGATATGGGGAGGCAGCCCAACGTTGTGGCTGAGAGCATGGACTCTGGAGCCTGACAGGCTGGCCCATGTCCTACCTTCAGCATTCACTCACTGTGTGGCTCTGGGCAAGTCACTTACCTTGCCTGAGCTACGTCACCTGTGTGTAGGTAGGTATTATAAGTACTCATAGTGCAATGAGTGAATGTGCATAAGTAACCCAGATAGTGCCAGGTGTGTAGTAGATCAGTCCTGAGTGTTAGTTGCTAGTGTTATTGTTATTACTAGCAGAGCTGTTGATAGCTGTCTAAATACCATCTGCTAATACAGCACTCTCTGCAGATCAGAAACTACTGTGCAATGGGCACTGTGTGAGGTATTTTCATACATGGCTTATTTTAATAAGTCACTCGACCCCATGAAATCAGTTCTCTTAGTATCCTATTTTACAGATGAGAAAACAGACATAGAATAGTTTTCTTACTTGGCCGAGGTCACCTCTCTTGGCCTCAGTTCCTCCCTTGTCTGGTCAGCAAGACTGGGTGGCAGGGAGCCCTGGCAAAAGAAGCTAAGAAAACAAGCCTTGTGTGTCTTCAACGAACAGGTCCCAGCACCAGCTCCATGCCTGGCACATTTAATGGGTACTTAATTCTTTTCTACAAAGTGAATGAACAATGATAAGCATTTGACTAAAAGAGAAATGCACATGGAAGACCCCAGGGCACAAGGACTGGCTGGGCACATGGAAGAGCTGAGCTCTACTCTTTCCTCTCCTGCCCTAGGTACCAGGTACCTTACACTTGGCCGTATTCCCTCTAGCACAATCAACTTGATAATGAGGGGCTTTCTGAACCTGAAGAAGAAACTGTGGGAACGATGATGGGGAAGATACCGACTGCCAGAGAGTCCAAAGAAGCAAAAGCATTCCACCCCCACAGAGAGGAAGCCAAAATCTCCAGAGGCTCTGGCAAGAGTTCAGTCAATTGCATGCCTGCCTAGTCCAGCTCCGTCCATATCAATGTTCTCCAAAAGTTTCAAAGGAAACAAGATAAAATGGATGCCCAAATGTTTAGAGCAGTGAAAATACCCTGCATGATACTAGAATGATGGACACAGATCAT